TGGTAATAAAGCAGGAGAAAGGATACAGGGGTTGTTTTGGTTGAATGTGTCAGAAAAGTATTTTTAAGGGCATATACAGGCACTAAAGATAGGCTTGCTGGCTGCTAGTCTGCTGGAATCTCATCCCCACTTTGCTCAGACAAATGGCAATAAGGCAGAAGGATGAATCTTTTCAGGCCAGGGGATGCTTGAGAATGATGTTCTCCAGTACAGAAAGTAAAGGAGGTTTCTTTTTGAGACTTAAAGCATAGGCTAAGATGTGAATAACTTCTGCTTTTCCTCTAATTTATCTAGGTGAACTCCTTGGAGCATTTCTTCTCTGCAAAATGCTAAGAGAGTTTTGGTGCTCTCTGAAGGAGGAGGAGATTGATGCTAATGTATGTAGTGTGTAAGGGTCCAAAAGAGAGAGAAAATGAGAATTTAGTCGTGCCAAAATGATGAAAAGTCCCAGAAAGTCAGTACTCCTCCAACACTGAAAAAGGAGTGTTTCAGGAATGAGAAATACTGAGTTACATCTGGAGCCAAACCCTTTTCTCTCTGCTGTGTTGTGCATAAGCAGATTTCAGCTTTACCATATTCCTATCCTCAGAGCTAAGCAGCAGAGACAAAAGGCAGGGGATTCAGCCCGTCCCATTTCTAGCAATTCCTGTATTTGCGAAACACGTGGGTAGCTGGGGATGAGCGGGAGGGTTGGCTGGATGGATTTCTAGCCTGGTTACAGAAGTGAAACAAATGCGCAGTCAGGCCATCAGCTTTCTCCCTAATCACTTTTGAACTCGACCATATTAAAAGTGTGAGCTTCTCCTGTGAGTTTCATGAAAACACGAGACGAGACGAGATGCTGTAATCACATCCCTGTGGTGAGCACAGCCTGCAGCCTGAACTCGTCCCACAGTATCCACCAGCAGAGAGGTCTGCAAGCTCCTCAAACACAGGAAGACTCAGTCTTACTCCTTATCGGGTCCCAAAGAGATCAACTACAAGGAACCAGCTACAAATTTAGTACTTTTATGCAGAATTTGTTGGGTTTCTGTGTGGCAGGGTCTGGCTGGCAAGCAGCTGGCTTTCTGCTTCTACTGCATAGCCTGTGCTTTTTATCTGAAGCCTGGATCTTTGAAGGTAGCTGGAAAAATCTAATTTGATTCTTCTGACTTTGCATGTAGGGTAAGTATTTTGCCTCCAGTCATGGTGTGTCATTTAAAATAAGATATAATAGCTATAGGAATTTGTAGGTGATGGCAGGTATGAAGGTTTTATGGTAAATGTTGGTGCTTGTGCAGTAAGATAGTTTTAAAGAGAGTAATATTCCAGACACACCACGTGGCAGAAATTCCACTGACTTCACCCGTCACTGTCAATGGCTTGGAGCAGGGAATCTTTCCAGGTTTGTACCTGCAAATATTTCCCCTCTATTCCTCATGTCAATGCAATACATCGGTGTATATCCTGATCCAGCCGGGGATTCAGGACCTTTCTATATTATAAATAAGGAATAATAATATATTTCAAGCTTTTTCCAGGTCTCCATTTGAAAGAGGCAGTTCTGAAGTCTACTAATTGTAACGTTTTAATGGTAATTGTGGTATTTAAAATTCTTGCGATGGAATAACAGAAGATTATTTTAGATGTATTTAGTTTTGAGGCTATCCAAAGAAATGAAAGGTCTTCAGTTTTCTGATTACATTTGCTTATATATTTTAAATATTTGAACACACAGTCTGTTTATGATCTGTTTGATTTTCCTGGCAGATCACCCTCTGTGTGTGTGTGTGTATGTAATGTACAAAGGCATTTGTGGTGAGAAAAAGAGAATGATTTCCCTTTTCTAATGTGTGGGAAAACTTAAACTATTAATGGAGTATGCGCCATTACAAAGTATTCTCAGTACAGCCTTCCAGATTATGCCATTTTATAAAAAATAACACATTTGGGGATTCCTTTTATTTGCTTTCTAGTTTTGGAGCCATTGAGATACATTTATTCATATTTTCACACATTTCATTGAAATGGATAAAAGTTTGCTGACCTCCTTTCCCCACTCTCACTCACAACTATTTTTTAATGAAAATAGTGATCTTTTGTTTTCATATGACTCCAGGAGACTTCATAGAAAAATTGACAAAAACGCCGAGTCTTATGATTGAAATTATGCAAGTTGGCAACACTGGTGGAATGTTTTATCCTTAAAATTTTGAGTTAAAGCTATAAGCATGTGAAAACCACATTTATAATGGCAGCTGTCTGCAAACATAATTATAGAGAGTGCATCCAGGCAACCATTATATATTAAAAGCATTTCATCGTGGCGAGCTGTAGAAATATGAGTTTTATGCTGTGCATCAAACACAATTATATTGCACATAGAAGGTGATGAGCAAGTCTTTGCCACTGAACCTCTTGAACTCAAATGAAGTGTTGGATCCTTGAATATGCATTTACTTCAGATCTTGCCATGAACTTCCATTTGACAGTATGTCATTTTTTTAATTAAAATTTAATTACAACCCAATTAAACACTTTCGCTTCTCCTTAAATATGTGAGGTATGATAAGAACCGGATTTACTTGAGTGCATGACTTTGCACATACTATTCAGTTAGCGCTGCCAAATCATTTCCCTCTGTTCTGTCTGTAACTCCCATTACTATTTGCCTTTGCCAAAATTAACTAACTGTGTGGTGTGAGCAGATGCTGAAAACATGAGCCATTGAATCAGGGTCATGCAGGAGACAGAAATGAATGTTCCCAGAAACTGTACGGTCACATTTTTCTAGGAAGAAAACAGCAGTGTATTTACACCATATTGATGACCAGCAATTGAAAATAAAACAACACACATAAAAAAAATGCTGATGATTTTGGGGAATTTAGGGCTACGTTTAACTCTGAGGTGCAAATACTCTGCCACAGATATATCTAAATTTTCTGTTACAAAGGATGCCAAGTGCCATGAAATACTGTGCTTATGTTTCTGGGACAAGATATAGGGAAGTTCACACAGTGAAGAAAGGATGCTGAAGTTTTTTAAGATACTAGCTCAGAAATAAAAGTGTAGGTTCATTTCCCTGCTCTCCTTAGATTTTTTTATGTGACATTGAGTGAGTGATTTAATCTTTCTTTTGTTCCCGAGTTCTCCATCTGTAAAATGGGGCTGGTGCTCTTTCTTTCTTTATGGCATATAGTGCCTGTAATTTATGATGTGCTCGTGAGTTGTAGCAACACGGTCTTTGTAAGCCCATAAATATTTGATTTGTTTAGCTTCACCCTTAAAGGGAACTTCAGTGCTGTGAAAGGACTGTTTGGTGGCATCTTTAGCTCTTTAATGGTTTCCACATCAAAATTGTTCAGTTCAAAACTGAGAAGATGATGTTTGCTGTTTTGCTTTTCCTCTCCTTTAAAGAAATCTGGATTTTGACAGTTAGCTAATTGCTGTTTTCCCTGGAACTGGGAGTTCTCAGGCCAGATCCTCCTCTGCCAGCCAGGCTTGCTGTAAACACTGTGAAGGGAGGAGCTGGATGTGTAAACACGTACATGTACATGTAAAGGGGAAAGTTTGCATGTCTAGCGGTAATGCTTCCAGCAGAGTAGGGTGCCTTTCTTTTTAGCTCGCTTGGCTCTGCTGTCCTTGCGTGGCTGCATGGCTGTTATCAGCGGTGGGGAGCTCAGCACCCCCTCGGCATGAATATGGATGGAGAGTTGGAAGCTGGTATCATCAATGCAAGCAATTTCAGACTGATAATGGGGTGGTGGTAACCTCATGAGAGATAAAAAACTTAATTATGCCCGTAGGGAATCATCAAATGTCTTTGCTCATTTTTACATTTTTATCGTTTCAGGTTTTGAAGTTGTCCTGGTTCCGGCTGGGACAGAGTTAACTTTCTTCCCAGTAGCTTGGGGGGTGTGCTGTGTTTTGGGTTTGGTATGAAAGGAGCGTTGATGGCCCATTGATGCTTTGGCTGTTGCTGGGTGATGCTCACATGGGGCGGCGGGAGCACAGCCGGGGGGGTGGACCCAGCTGGCCAATGGGGGATTCTATACCATGGGGCATCATGCTCAGTATAAAACCCAGGTAGGGGGCGGGGGGACTCGCCCCCCGTTCGTGATACGCGGTTGGCGGTCGGTGAGCATTTGCATTGTGCATCACCTGCTTTGTATATTCTGTTATTGTTGTTGTTCTCATTGTTATCATTACTGTTCTACTTTGTTTTTTTTAATTATTAAACTGTTTTTATCTCAACCCGGGAGCTTTCCTACTTGTGCCCTCCCGATTCTCTCCCCCATCCCACCGGAGAGGGAGGGTGAGTGAGCGGCTGCGTGGGGGGTATTTGCTGGCTGGGGTTAAATCACGACAGAAGTTCTTCAAATTCTATCAAAATCTCAGTGAATTCAGTTCTGGATTTTTCTTCAACTTTTTAAAAGCAGACTTAATGCCATTCCCATTTCCGAGAACACATTACAATTACTTTGACCTATACCTTTATGTCAATATGCAAGTATAATACAAAAATACCACAAAATACCACTGCGCAGTATTAACTGTAAGTTGATCAGCACTTCATTAGTTCTCCAATAGCAAAAAAAGAGCAGCTGGGTAGTGTATTGTGCAAAACTCTTGTCCTTTGACATGCGGGACCTTGGATCTAATCCCACTTTTTCGCCATCATAATGAAATTAATTTGGTGGTGTCAGCTGAGTTCGTATTGCAAAACTAGCACATGGAAATCAGCAGCGCTGTTGGTTTCTTTACTCAGGAGAGGCTTGGAGCTTAGCTTGTCTGGAAACTGAAACCTTCCACCTCTAGACATTATGTCTCCTCCAGGTCGTACATGAAATGACTTAGGGAGGCAGCAGGGAGAAGTTCGTGAAGTGGCAGGCTGCCTGACACCTGCCAGCTTAGTAAATGTCTGTGGGATTCTCCTTCCCATCTCCCTTCACATTCGTATATAATTTCTCTGATTTGTATGTTATGAATAATTAATAAATTTTGCCTTGTCTCCTAAGGTTATAAAAGATGTGTGCAGCAACTGTACGGGAGCGGTGGACTCTGATGGGCCGTTGTCTAGTTCTCCAGTACACAAGACGGAGCTGGAAAAGGTAAAGTTATCACAATGATGAATGCAAAATTCCGTGTGATTACTTATTATAGAGGCACTGCTAGACACTGCATGGTTTAGGGGATGTTCAGACCACAAAGCTGAAATTGAATTTAGGTTCTAGATTTCATGTATTAACTTTTTCATGTTAGACCATTTTCTGGGGCAATCTTCAATAACTATTTCCTGACTCGTGCTACTGTTTTAGACTATTGGCCCCTGTGTCATTTTTGTTTGTTTGGATACATGCACACATCCTACAGAATTAAGACTTCTGCCATGTCTATTCATTTGGTTATGAAAAACCAGACTGGCTTATATCCATTAGCAGCTTCTCTTTAGCCACTTAAGGTGCAGACTAAGCAGGTCTGGTACATGTGCTGTGATGCAGAGACATTCTCCGTGAAGTGCAAAGAGCAAGCAGAGATGTGACCCTCAGGGAAGAATAGCTGAAGATTATACAAAAGTTTTAAGGGAAAGTCTTGTATTTTTGAGAATTTAGTTCTTGAAGAGCTCCCTGGGCATGCTGAGGTCACTGTTTTGGTAGACCCTTTCAATCATTCATGCCTCAACACAGAAACTTGGCTATTCACATGTGGTTGTCTCTGCTGCCTTGACTCAGCAGGATATGAGAGCAAGAATTAGGAAGGAGAACAGCCCTGCAGTGAACGATCAGTACATTACCAGCACCGATTTAACCCCCTGCTCTGTTAAGGCATCCATGTGAGCAGACCCCTCTGCAGATTCTGCTCAAAAGTTCCACTGACAAAGGTTTCATCACCAAATTCCTGATGGCAAGTTCTACCCCTGTAGTGGAAGGACGCTACAGCCAGTAGTGTTATGTTGCATTGCACCTGGATAGTAAGAGCAAAGCATGTTCCATGACAGCTTAGACCTCCTGATTTCACAAGGCAAAAGCTGTTGTGTTGCATGCTTGCACACACCTGTAGAGTATTAACAAAGTAACTGAAAGTGCCATAAAATAGTTGTTTTCTAAAATGCATGCCATGAAAGAGGGTAGCAAAACGTTTCTTTTTGTGATAATCTGTACATCTTCTTTAAGACTTCACCACTCAGGAGTAATGTGGTTGTCAAAACTGTGCTGGCATAAGCTCTTTACCGCGCCATCCTGTATCTCGTATGCAACCATTACAGCATAATGGGTGCTAAAAATTTATTTCAAAAGCCTCTTTTCTGTAGATATTGAAAGTACTGAAGCACCATGTAGGAATGCACTATTTTCTGACAAGTTGTAATTGTACAGGCATATGTGAAGCATTTTTTAAAGTCATAATTTAAAAATTATTCTTATCTGATCCATGTAATTGTTCATTGCTTAGCAGATTAATAAACTGCAACATTTAGAGTCTAGAAATTAATTTAAAATATATTGTGTAATAAGAGGCATTGAATTATGATTATTTCACTGTTTTGACTATACTTTCAAATATAGACCTATTTTGTGGTTTCTGTGCTTTTCTAAAGCCTATACGGCAGTGTAAAAAAAACCTCTAAAACTGTGTTTTTTACTACCATCTTTTGTTTGTCTTCCAAGTGGATGAGAGCTTAAAATGTGGTTTATTTCACAGTAAGCATACTTTTAAATTGACTCGCGACACTTCATTTGGCGAAGGTGCCAACATTGTATGTCACCTAATCTCTTTGTCCCTGCAGAAGTTGTCATCTGAGAGGCCAAGCTCAGATGGGGAGGGGGCTGTGGAAAATGGCATCACTACCGTGTGCAATGGGAAAGAACAAGGTACGTCTCAGATCCAGAGATAATTGGTGTAAATAATATGTTGATAGGTAGTGAAATACCTGGCTTTTGTCTTTTAAAAATAGGTAGTAAACTTTGAATATTTTTATTAGGATTCAATTGAACTTGAAAGCTGGATTATGTCAAGAGTGAATCCTTAAAACTTTGCAGTAACAGAAGGCATTTGATGTTGTCATTGTCCAGGTAAAATCAATATAATTAGTATAAGGAAACAGAATATAGAAATTTTGACTTGGCCTTTTGTGTGTTCAAAAGTACAGTTTTTTAGAGCTTGGGCGACCACTATAGGCAACTAACAGTTGCTTTTAGTAACTGTAACTGTACAGTGGCAACAAAAATAGTCGGTGTATAGCTTCTAAGCAAAAAAGCTATCATTGAATACTAGAAGAAAAGAATCATGAGTATTACATATATGTGTATGTATACATATATATATACACACAGTTTATATATGTGTGTGTATACACAGATACATAGATATATGAACTATTATGTATGGTTATTTATATTAACATACTAAAGTGTATATAATCACTTAGTATCAGTGGGTTTGTAAGTATATATGTATATAATTTTACATATCCTACTTTGGAGCCATGCATGTTTTGTAGTCCTTGTAATCTAACAGAGGCACATCCCAAACCCAGAGGGAATTTTTTCTGAGTTATATCTAAAAAACCTCAATCCCTATGCTCTCTTCCCCACCCCCCTCTCTGCTCCCCAAAGCGGAAGAAATTCTGTGACTTTGTTAACTTGCCATATAGCAATGGTATCGTTTAGATAAGACATCTTTCTGCAGCTGTCAAGCTGAAGGGTAATACGAGCTGCAGCGAGCACAATGTCAATATGTGGTGCCAGCGCTGTCTCGCCTTTTGACTCATTTCCTTTATCTTCTCTCTGGGTTGTTTTCCAATGTTTCCTGACTATACAGATCTCTGACATAGCCAACAGTACAGAAGAACGTCAGGTTTTGTGGTTTCTAGAAGTTGTGGTACATGGTTAGATTTCACCCTGTAAAATCTTCTACAAAGCTTTAAAAAGCACACTACTGTTTTAGCCTCTGAAACCTGCTGAGAAACATCTGTGACCCAAAAGCTGTGTCGTCCATGATGTCCAGAAGTGCCTGGTGGCTCAGGTGCCCCACAAGAGGCATGCTGATGGAGCATGTGATGCTGGAAAACCAGCCCAGCTTAGATGTCTCAAGGAGGGTTATTAAAAATAACAGTTGCTTTTGAAAATTGTGACCTTCGATATGTAGTAATAAAAATAATAGGCATTAATGACTGCAAGGAGATTAAAATATCCCTGGCATCATTTTAAGTGGTTCTGGATGAAATGACACTATTTTTTTTAAACGGATAGGAAACGCTTAAGGGAGTACGTGGGAAGGGACCCTCCGGAGAGCAGTCATCTCCAGCCGTCACCCACCGGCCAGCCTCTACTCCACTCTTAACCAGCTGCGCGTTTTGCTGTAGGGAAGGAAATGAGAAGAAAAGGCTTTTGTGACAAAAATCACTGGCAGTCAGGCAATCAGTATATTCTTTAGACTTGAAAAGATTAAGTCATGAAGGCCTTATTTCTGCTGCCTCTCAGTTCTGCAGGAAAATAAAATAGCAGTGTGAAGGGAAGATAGGACAGAAAAACAAAAAAGCACTGAAATGGGCTTATTCGACTGTCTGTTCCTGCTCCTGAGAATGGTTCCTTTGGGCTTCTGCCTCAGAGAGATGAGTTTTTCTTGGTCTCTGGCTTTTTTCAATGCTTTTTATCTCCTCCCCACTCAACAGCCACAGCTGGTCATCGGCTGCCGCTGCGTGGGACGGAAACCGCTCTGCGGGCAGGTGCTGCCTTCGGGCCTTCCCTCAGGCAGGGGGTGACGAGCAGATGGGATGGGTGGCCTTCCTCCCTCGAACATGGGAGCTCATTGCCTGTTCAGAGAGCACAATATAAGTTGTGAACATCCTTCCCTTAGGAAGAGAGAATTAGACCTTTGCTTGCACACGCACGTCACTGTATTGGAGTTTGCTGGTGAACAGCTATCCGCGCTTGAAAAGCCGCCTTTCCCCCTCGGCACCGCATGCAGCAGGTGACAGATTTGTGCTACAGATACAATTTCTAAATAATGTTCCATGATTCCTGACAATTAAACTAAATATGATAAATTATCCCATTGTGAGTCCAAACTGCTTCTCTATTTCCCATGCATTCTTCTTCCTGGTTTATCAATTCATATAGCCATTTCTCATATGAACATTTTGTCCTTTTTTTTTCTCAGTTTACACAAGTCCATAACCACTAAATGTTCCCTGTTGCAAAGAGAATTGATATGTCAGGGATGAAGTTACAGCAGCTCAATCAGTAACTATCCTAAATGTATTTTTCATCAAAATCATTTATCAGGGCAAGTTGATGGATATTTTTGCGGCCCTTTCAGTTAGCAGAGAGACGTCTGCTGTGTTGATGGAATCCAAATTAGGCCACTGAATGCAATTTCTGAAAGTTCATTTTGTTTGTTCTGTTTTGCAAATAAAAGGTCTTTTTTTCTGATTCTGTTTGATCTTAAAAACTTTCTTTTTTTAATTTGTTAGGATTTTAGGCAGGTAGGCACTTTTAAAAATGATAACCATAGTCCTTGCCATGTTATCTTCAGCAGCTCAACATGTCTCAGTGCACAGAGCCATAATATTACTAGTATCATGTTAAGTTAATGGAAGCATAGACTGGATGTTAGCAAAATACCTCTTTTCAGCAGAGCTTTTTCTTTCCAAGCCCTCATGATCATAAAAAGTACCAACCATTGAATGCTTATACTGATCCCACTAATTTAATTGTTAGTAGTTAATTTAGAAGTCTTGTCTTTCTAAAAGGTCCATTATTATAAGATACCTTAACTTAATTGTACATGGCAGGAGTATTTTTGCTAGGCAAGCATGTTCTGTCTTTGTTGTGTACTTAATTGTTGAAGTATTTTGAGGTAAGTGTTTAGGAACAATGAAGGATCATCTGGCTGGATTTTTATTCTTGTGTATACGAGCTAAATTTATATGCAGGTACCTCAGTCATACTGATAAATTAGATGATGACTGCTGTGGAAAGAGTCTTTCAGCTTGATTAGATTAAATTAAATTAGAAGCTTGATTTTTGATTTTCTTATCCTTCTGCATGGCATGATTTTTATAGCACAGAGGTTATTTATAGACATCTGCATTAGAGAGGGCATATAACGTTTATCCCATTGCTGTTTGCAACTTTTGTACAATGTTCATCTTGCACAGGATTGTTTGTCTGAACTACTATTTTTATTCAGGTTCTCTCTATTCATTGGTTAATTTAAACACACTAAAATACACACTTTTGCTTTCTTCAATAGTGAAGAGGAAAAAAAGTTCAAAATCAGAAGCTAAGGGCACTGTGACTAAAGTAACAGGGAAAAAAATAACGAAGATCATTGGTTTAGGAAAGAAAAAGCCATCAACAGATGAGCAGACCTCATCAGCTGAAGAAGATGTTCCAACATGTGGTAAGTGATTTTTCTCTTTGAGTCTTAAATGCACATTGCGACTAAAACTTTATAAAATTCTAGCCTAGAAATTCATCTAAAATTGCTTTTTCTGCTATAATTCTTCCCCCAACATCAGAAGGATGCACTCAGACTGAAAGAGGAATAGAGTAATCAAGAGCTTATCATTTGAAAAGAGACTAGAAGAGCTTGACTTTTTAAATGAAACGGTAGCACAGGCTCAGAAGATATATCATTGCTCTTTGCAAAGGTGAGGGAGAAGAGAAGTGTGTACAAAAAGCAGAAAGAAACAAGAGCTGTTTTCAAACAAATGGATATAAAATGAATATAGGCTGGACTATGAAATAAATTTAGGCTAGGAAGTAGAAGAAGGTTCTTGGGAAGGGATCAAGTCTTTTGTGAAGGATTGTGCTGAGGTTTTATGGGATAGCAATCGAGATAGCAGTTGACTGGCCTCAGCCAAAGTTGGGCAAAACTTGAAATGAACATATTTCTAGTAAGCTATTTTAACTCCTAATGTTGGTCACTCCGTATGACAGCTGTAGTGCTTTGCAGCACCAAGGAAGTATATAAAAAGGCATGCAGAAAATGCTTATGGTTTGTATCTTGGCTGTTAATGTTTGCTCACAATTTAGGACTTTGTGCAATGGACTTAACTGATGTCCTCACAGCTCTGGTATTTTCAAACAATGCAATATATTTACATTCTCCTGTTTGCCTTCTGATGCTCCAGTATTAAGTAACACTTCCATACGTGAATAAGGTTGAACCCACCCTTCTCCCAATCCCTTCCAAAAAAAAATTCCATAGAAAGCAAGCTGTGAAGCAGTTGCACAGGATTCTGAATTTGGATTTGCCTTTTCCCCTTTAATTCAGTGGAAAACTTTGGGAAACCCAGAAATCTGTGATTAGGCAGCGGTTGGCAGAACTCATTGGTGCATGAAATGTGATAGATGCTTGCCCAATGTGAAAGAAGCAGATCCACGGACCACCAGTGAGAACTTCATAGATCACAGGTGGCTCTCAAGCCACACTTTGGGAATCATTCACATAAGCAATCTTTGATTAAATAAGTGTGTGTGTATATGTCTATACATCAGCTAAGTACAGATGTGTTTTATCAAGAAAGAACAGCTGGGAAAAGCTGTGTCCAGCCAGATGCATTGTCTGAAGCATCTGGCTTCCATAAAAGCTCAAACTTCCGGGGTCTCATACTCCGTTGATTATTCTGTATTATGTGAGATGTTAACCACAGCTGTACAATCTAATTCCTAGTATTTCTAGCATTATTTTGGATATGGACATAAGTATAGCCATTACTATTGCCTGCATTTGGCTCTGCTCAACACCACTTGCAGATTTTATAGGAAAATATATAAGTGTCTAGGCTTTGGTCATTGCAGGAAGCCTTTGCAGAAGGAGTTTCTCACCACCAGAAATTTGGCTCAGTGCAATGCCCTCTGGGAGGTTGCTCCGTAGTTGAAGGCTTTTACACTTTAAAAGGCTCTACCTCCCATGAACAAAGGGAAAAGCCCAGCGGGGCTGCAGGGGACACCCAGCTAGAGTGGAAATGGAAACCCACCTGCACTCGGAGTCACGGCAAAGCTCTTCTCTACAGCATCACTGGTCTTTGACCGCCTGGGCTAAGCTAAAGTGCTAATGCCCCAACTGGGAACACACTCAAGGCATTTTGGTCATGTCAACTGTTGAAGTTTTAAGTAGGGATATGTGGGAGGAAAAGCGTGGGATCCTGCTTAGTTCAAGTGAAGTAGGAGCGTTTGGAAGAGCTTTTCTGAGAGGTGCGTTGGGAGCAGAGGGGGAGAAAAAGTACTGTCTGAAAAAAAGGACTCTCACTCCAAAACAAGCCAGCTGGCTTGCACGTGAAGGGTTTTCCATTTCTAGGGATTATATTATAATGCACAGCTATACAGGGTTTTGTTACCGGAGGAGGGAGGAGAGCTGGAGAGTGTAATCATCACAGGGAGCCAAAATCAGAGGAGTGTGCACATCCTCCTTTTTTTGTGGCACCTTCCAAGATGTGCGCAATTCTGATCTGCTATATCCTGTTGGATCAAGCTTTGACATTGGAACCATAATGTTGGAAGGGAAACCCAGAAAAATTAATGATAAGTCATAGTTTTAATGAAAACCAAAGAGATAGCTATCCAACAGGATTAAATGAAAATCAGACCTGAGATAGAAGAAAATTTTTTTACATGAATTCTGGCCTGTGCAAGATGTCATTTGTTTCCCTCTTCATAGCCTGTTTGGAAGCAGCAACATGCTGAATTCATGTACCATTCGTAATGTGGAAGCAAAAGTAAAAGATCTTTTTTTTTTTTTTTTATTCCCAAACTAAATAAGGCAGGAAAATTGGGCATTGTCTTGATTTTAAGGTTTGAGTCTGGAATGATTATTGCTATGGGACAGAGAAGGAAAAACACAAAACACTGCCCATTTAATGATATTATATGCCTAGACACTGTATCCGATATAGAGCATGATAAGAAAAGCAGGTTTTTTTAAACGGCACTTTGTTCATTAAATTTTGATTCGTTTTAAGGGTACTGTGTTATCCCTGGAACTTTCGTCTTAAAGTTTAGCTAAATTTCATATACATTTACTTCTTGAGTTTTAAACCAATATGAATTTTATTTTTATTGGCATTGGTAGCGATCTTTTAAATTCTGCTTTAAAAGTGTTGCAAACCAAACGTGCATTCTTCTTTCTAAATGAAATTAGAACATACAACATCAACGCTTAGTAGGTCTTTAAAACACTGATTTTGGATGTTACAGAAGGTAGCTCATCACCTAATTATATAATATGAGCTGCAATTTTCCCAGAAAATGTTGGTCAGCCACAGTTATCAAAGCCATTACATATGGAGAAGGTGGGTCTTCTGTGTGAGCACATCGGCTGTGTACGTACCTTTTTATCACTGTCCCTCTCCCATTCTTACTAACGTCTTGGGGATCGGTGTGCTCCTGCTCATCCAGCTGCCGCAGTGACTAACAGAACAGCCATTTGCATGTGAGCAGGATCATGTCTTCATATGCTTTTTTCTAGGTTATTGGCACAGTGGAAGTTTTCATTAAAAGAAGTGGGGCAGGGTCATTTATTTGTCTTCCTAAAATCCATCTGGACTTTCTATATAAGAGGAATAAGTTGTTTAAGTGCTAGCATTACATTGAAAAGTAAAGTTTTTTTCTTCTCAAAAGAAGTCAGGAGTAAAATATCTCACGTTTCATTTTATTGCAGGATATCTCAACGTGCTCTCAAATAACCGTTGGCGTGAGCGCTGGTGCAGAGTGAAAGATAATAAACTCATTTTCCACAAGGACAGGACAGATCTGAAGACGCACATTGTTTCTATCCCTCTCCGTGGCTGCGAAGTCATCCCGGGGCTGGATTCAAAGCATCCCCTGACCTTCCGCTTGCTCCGAAATGGGCAGGAGGTCGCTGTGCTCGAGGTGCGGTAGTTGCTAATGGCTATGACTTGTAGGAACACCCACAAGCTAAATTAGAGAAGCACTTTCATACAACCTGGCCATTCAAAAAATCTTTGGAATAATATTATTGCAGAGCTGGATAATAAATACTGAAAGGAGAAAAAAAATATTAAGAGTTGCAGGCAAAGAGAGAACTGAGATTTAATGCAGCTCAGAAATCTCAGTAATTTGGCCTTCCCTTGACCTGTTACTAAAATATCCCTGCTCCTTCTCTATACACACTTTTACATCAGGGATATAATTACTTTGGGTAAATAACTTAGCAATAATTAAATAATGGATCACTGTTGATGGGAACTCTAGAGCTCTTAACTCTCATTTGTCTGCTACTTATGTGAAGTCTGTATCTGTATTAAGGTAATTCTGCAGTAAGAAAATAGAGTGTGCCAGCGTCCTGGTGAGTCTCTTGACACACCACACGTGTACACACTGGCACGCTCCTTGCACTACGAAGGTCATACCTTCATCTGTGTTAGGTGGGTCAGGATTTTCTGAGGGGCTTTATTCATCATATTTTGAAAGCTGAAATGAGAAGACTCTTAAAGCCAAGTATAATGAAGATATAGGAGGAGACAACCTTTTGCTTTCAGTGGCAGGATGGACACTTTGACCACTTTGGATTTCCAGCTGCAGGTCACATTTATCTCCTGTCCTTGCAACCAGGCCTGTTATATGTAAGCAATTTAGAGAAGTTGAAAAACTGGAAAGCAGCGCAAGGAACTGTGAAAGGCAATGAAATACTTAAAAAGAATAAGAAATTTTAAAAACCCACAGTTTCCTCTCCCTTTTTTTCCATTATTTATTTTACTACTGTTTAACTTTGCAACTGATGACTTGAAGCAAAATGTGAAAAATTAAAAATTATTTTTAAAGTATTCATGTTTGTACTTGGGACATTAGGAATATAAATCTATCATCTAGACAAATGTATTGGAATTTTTCAAAAACCAACACTAAAATTTCTCCTACTGTTTCATTCTTTTTCCCCTGGTTTCTACTTAGGACTAAGATTTTCTTCTTAGGAGTCATCCTAACTAAAATCCCCCAGCCTAGCATAGGAAAATAATTCTGTCATAGCTTTTAATCTTCTGAAGTCTAAAATAAGCATGACTTGAATCTAAATCCACTAGCCTTAAACAATTATTTTTTCTTCTTTTTTGGAGATTGGCCACTTTGTATTACATCATAACTGAGGAGCACATAGCTTACTTAAAGGGCACTCCTTGTAGCAAAGCAGATGTAATAAGAAATCATGGGGTTTTTAGGAGTTCAGCAGAGAGAAACCAGAGCCTCTCATACAATGTGGTAGCAATTTATCAGCCAAGAAGAATGCACCGTTTTGAAATAATGCTCAGCTCAGTGGCAGACTAAAGACCTGACGTTCGCCCTTGCCCTCTCCTCGCAGGCATCCTCCTCCGAAGACATGGGCAGATGGATAGGAATTTTGCTGGCAGAAACGGGGTCTTCGACAGACCCCGGAGCTCTGCACTACGACTACATCGACGTGGAAATGACGGCAAGCGTCATCCAGGCTGCCAAACAGACGTTCTGGTGAGAGGCGTTCAGCTACCCGGGTGTTTCCAGTACTGTGAGAATTTATATCCGTATGTTAACTCCAGTGCCAAGAGAGCTTATCAAAGTCCACCCCTCTTTGCCAGATACTGAACTCCTGAAGTGTTTCAGCATGACAGCATGTTAGATGTGTTTATGATTATCGTGTTGGCATCCTTCTAAGTTCTGCAAAAGATGCAGACACCATCCAGCTTTACTCAAATCTTTACTCTTTTTTTTTTTAGTAAGTCTCCTTATCAAATGCTACATTTTAATATTTTATTTTGCCTGAAGACTTAGAACTATCCCTGGAAGAGGACAAATACGCTGAAAATTAAATAAGTATGCAACTATGTAGTTCATGTTTATCTATTGGCTGTATTTGCGCTACATATAGCCAATATGTACAGCATATATTAGCCAATATATGCTGTACACTAAAAATGCGCAGCAGATTTAAGTCTTGGATAGTCACATCCTCAGTGTTTCCTTCTCAAGTTCTTTTCTGATTAATTAAAAACTTCATCAAGCTCACACCAGTCCAATTAATTTCTGGGGTTTAATTTAGGAGGTGGAAATTGGGAAGGTGTCTAGGGCGCAGCACGAAAGCTCTGTTTAAATTGCAAATCAGTACAGTGAATTCCCCATCACCCATCCTGTGCTAGGAAAAGTAATGCATACTTAGCATATATAGCGATTTAAATGTTCAAATCAATTTAGGCATTAAAGCAGTCTTTGGTGAGAAGAGACTGTCATTTTCCCTTGGCTAGATGAGGTTGTTCAGAAACAGGAGCGAAGGAACAGTTGGGACAGGCGGGGTGCCCTGCTGCAGACGTAGCCCGTGGTTTCCCAGGGTCAGAAAGCGAGTGGCCTGAGAAGGCGTCACCCCTCATCTCGCTGCAAAACGAGACTACCCACACAAATTTGGAATTCGTGTGACAATATATTAGACAATCACACCCCATCTGCCCATCATAACTTTAAACAGACTGAAAATGCAAAAAAAAAAAAAAAAAAGACAAAAGCTTCAGAGTTTTCCAAAAGACTCTCCTGCCATTAGCGATGTGTTAAGAGAGCTTTAAGGAGAGAAAACGGGCAGCTTCATTCAGGATCTGGTTTGAATGACTTCTGATAGAAACCAAAGTGACTCAGTGTTACCACAAGCCCAGTTTTGTGAAAACCAGATCATTTTGATAGAATCAAAATGCATTTCGCTTACAGACTTACATTAATATTTGTTTTGAAGTTAATAGGGCTCAAAAAGTTTATCCTGTGTTGACATGTATTTTTGCTTCAGTCAGCATCTAGCAATAACCACATTTAAGAAAGAAATAGAATGGAAACCTTTTCCCCCTGAATACTGCTTGGCTTTCCTTTTCTGCACAAATGTGATATTAATTGGAGCCAAGTGAAAAAACATATGCAACTAGACCACATGTTAGAAAGGAGTATCAAACAACTTGCAAAATAGCAGAATTCCCCATTAAGAATTAGTTAAAATTCATTGGGTGTCTTTAAAAGACTGTAAGAGCTTGTCGATAAGCAACTAGAGTAGCTGTCTGCTGATTTTCAGCTACTCCTAGAAAATGAGGAGAAATGACAATACTTGTGTTAATCAAATACTATTGCTGCCCTTTGTAGAATGAATATCAGTATTCCAAATTAACTGCAGTTACCATTAAAGCTTTGATTGTCGCAGTCACTTCAGGATTATTGGTTATTCCTTTCCTGAGACTGATGCTTTGCAAAATGATCAGCTCTTCATTAATAGTCCCATCAATTTTCTTCATCTAAATCATTAGGTACCTAAGAAAGGCCAAGGAAAAAATGCTTCCAAGCAGGTTTTCTCCATTTTCTTTCCCATCTAGCAGTTTCAGATTACAATTAACTTACATGGATGCAGCTGTAAGCAGGATTAATGAGGCTTAGTGAAATAATGCTTATGAAGTGCTTGCAGATACTTAGATAAATCTTAGCTTCCTTTGGTGGTGGAAATAGTTACTACACGTACATCAGATGTCATTAATGAATATCCCAGTTTTCAGATATGGTTATTATGCATCACTCAAATAGAAAGAAATACAATAACGGCTCCAAATGCAGTCCTTCAGACTAACCATAAACACTTGAGTAATGATGTTCTTCATTAAGAGGAACAGTAAACAAATGCAGCCCTTTAATAATGTTTAATAAAGTATGAGATATGATAAAGTTAAAAGTATTTTTATCATGGAGTTTATCTTGGGCTTTTTGTTGTTTGGTTGTTTGTTTTGAAAAGCTTCCATCTAATGATTATTGCACCCCTGCCCTGTCCTGAAAGGTTCACACCGAACTGGGCAGGTTCATCCCTCCTGTGAGCCTGGGTCTTCTGAGGCTCAGGTGAGCCACAGTTGGATGAGGTCTGTCTCCCTCTGAATGAGAAATTCAATGGACTCCATGTTATTCCAAAACCAAAAGAAAGCAACTGTTAAAACCACAGCATTCTTGAGCTCCGGCCAGCGCTACAGAAGACCCTCTCTGCTTTAATAGGGCTTTACTATATTTTATGAATGTCAGCACAGAGTCTGAATAGTTCCATTGTTTGGGATGGAAAGCTTTGTTTTCCCATTCACGTACACCTAAAGCTATAGAAATTATTTGGGATCTCACTCTATATCTCATTCAATTTCAGCAGTTGCTACAAAGGAAAATGCACCCTTGGGGTCGTCATTGCTGTTGGGCCCGAGTCTGCCATTTTCTGCATTGTGTGTTAGATCTTTGCTCCCAACACAAAGCCTGTTGTGGTCCGTGATGTCTTGCATGTGTTCTGCAGAATTCCAGTAAAACAAGCTGCAATGTTGATTTTGAGGGGGGGAATAAACAAACAAACAAACGTACATATACATATATATAACAGTATACATAAGTAATAAGTGATAGGACAAGAGGAAATGGCCTCAAGTTGCACCAGGGGAGGTTTAGATTGGATATTAGGAAAAATTTTTTCACCAAAAGGGTTATCAAGCACTGGAACAGGCTGCCCAGGGAAGTGGTTGAGTCACCATCCCTGGAGGTATTTAAGAAATGTGTAGATGTGGTGCTTAGGGACATGGTTTAGCCCTGGACTTGGCAGTGTTAGGTTTACAGTTGGACTCAATGATCTTAAAGGTCTTTTCCAACACAAATGATTCTATGATTCTATGATTTTATATATAGAGATATATATCTCCCTTTGAAGTGTCCAGAGGGCTCAGATCCACTATGTGAAACAGAGCAAGAATGAGCATATAGAGTATTTGCATGCACAGTTACCCAGACAGAGGGTTGGGAGGCAAGCGCCATTGTGCACACTCTACCCAGCCAAAAGTTCTGATATGGAACTGAAAAATTCCCAGATTTTGAGGAAGCAAATATTCAGCAAATTTTGATAGTTACGTGAACTTAGATTTCATCAAAGTTCCACTTGTTTTACAAATTTTTGCTGGATTTGATTCTTGTTTCTCCCAGTTCCTAACTCTGCATCCCCCTTGAACGTGCATGCACCCAGAAACACCTGCTTCTCCCCGATGCAGACAATAAGGGAACTTTTATGGGACACTGGCAAGCTGGTTTATAACACAGATCAGCGGGTTCCCATGTAAGATGCCACTGAGCAGTTACAGCTGTTGCCCTCCTGGCTTTCACACAGTCTTATCTCCACTGTAAGAATGGAGTACAGGAACATGTGTTGTAATATTGGCTGCTAGCAGCAACATGTGAGTAGCAAAAGAAAGAAAACTGTCCTCAGCTTTCCTGCAGAAAGTGAGAAGATATGTGCTTCCAGGCTACATAATCAGATACAGGGAACATACCACTGAATCATCATTTAGACTTCAGTTCAAGCGCTGTTTTTTATTATTTTTATTTTGCTTTATTCAGTTTTATGAACAGGCGAGTTATATCTACAAATCCATATCGGGGAAGCACTGCCAATGGTTACGCCTGTCCAAGTGGAATGGCACTTCATTACGATGATGTTCCCTGCATAAATGGATCGGTAAGAATTGAATTTGCACAGAACAAATGGTTTGCATGTGTTGAATGTATGGACATCTGAAAATTATATTATCTAAAAAGCCCCACTGGGCAGTTTCCAAATGAACTCCTATTTTTTTTGATTGGGGGCTGCAAACTTCTCTCACACCTACAGAGTATGAGGGGTGTGGGACATACTGTTTACATTAACCTGCACGTGAGCCAACGTGCATTTAGAAAGCAGTTGCCTGTTAATGATTTGTTGCCAAGTCCTTGAATATAATACTCACTTGAGGCGGTATTTTTTAGATCACACCGGACCTGGCAAAATTAAGGACTGAGTTACACCAGGCACTTTTTGGTGTCTTTTGAAAAAAAAACAAAACTGAAATACTTCTCAGTCCCTGGGGCTGCATTCCTCATGACAGGAGGTACTGCTCATCCCAAAGGAGAACCACAGTGGTCACTTCCATCTTGATAAATTGCAGAGCTGATCGTAGGCAGATGTGTAATAGGGTTTAACACATAGTGGATGTTAACCCAGAGCAATATGTGGTCCTCAGGAAGATTTACAGGGGAGCTACAGCCTGTGTCAGCTTTTAACTTGGGCTGCTTCAGAAAGGCCCCACTAAGGCTGAAATCAAGAGAAATTCAGAATTTCGAAGTGTTAAGTGGACTGCAAGTTCAGTCCTCCATCATGTCTTAGTGATGTCAGAAAGATGGTAGAAAACCCCTCTTGGGAACAGCACACGACCACATGTGTGGTGAGTAGTCTGTATGTGTAGCTCTTGGATGTGCTGAAGCCTTTGTATGAGTAGTGTACTGCCACAGCCAGCATGGATTAAGGAAGGATATTTGGCAACCAGGTTGGTTTCTTTTAAGATTAATTGAATGAATCACTGGAGTATTGTTGTTGAGCTTTCCATTTTTCTGAAAAGAAAAAAAGAAAAGAAAAAAAAAAAGGAATGGCCTGTGGCTATTTTAGCTGGTTAGCTCAGAATAATAATTCTCCAGCAAATAAAATGTAATACTAGCATACCAGCAGCTGGTATTCACTGGAAAGACATATAGCCTGAAGAAAGACAAAAAAAAAACCAACCAAAAACCCTCTTGGCTTCTGCTAACTGTTAGGCCAGATTACTTTTAACAACTCATGTACCAGATGTAATCCCACAGATTCAGCTGTGTAGCCTGTGAGTATCCCCCTGTTAACACAGCCTGCTTGTGCCCCTCAGTGCTAGAGCTAACAACTGAAGGTACAGTCTATGAAACAGCAAGGTTGATAGGATAGTACGGGTTTGCTCAAACTATGGAAAATGCACAGGACTGAGGCTATGAGCTATGTAATGCAATGCTTCCTTTCCACACTGTGTCCTCCCCCCTTTCTAAATAGTTTGACTCAAGTGTAAGCAATAAGCATATGCTTGCTAAACACAGAGGGCTTGCTATGGTCAAAAGAATTACTAATGTTTTAATTTCACTTAGGAGGTTCTGCATGGTGTATTGTTTACTAACTGCCAAAGTGTATGTGTTGCAGTGGGAACCAGAAGATGGCTTTCCTTCTTCTCGTAGCAGGAACATTGGAGAAGAAATGCTTTATGATAACGCAGGCCTGTACGATAACTTGCCGTCTCCAAAAATCTTTGCGCGCTATCCGCCAGCTGACAGAAAACCCAATAGGTTATCTACTGACAAACTCTCCTCTAACCATTACAAATACCCTGTCTCATCCAATCTGTCTTCTGCTCAGTCTGTCACTAATACCTCTGCTGTGGGGAGGGGATCTGGCTCGCAGGTACTGTACTATTTAATACTTAACAAAGCTTTTTATTTTTTGTCTGTTCTGTTTATCTGGTTGTTACCTTAAGGGCCTTGGGCTATTTCAGTCCCTTAGTGTTAGCACTGAAGTGCTTAGAGTTTAGTCATGAGTCCACTGCAAATGAAACAGGTTTGCCAAGTTGTAAATTCCGATGTGGAAGTATTGGCACCTGGGAAGGGCTTTTTTTGATTTACAGATTGTGGATAACAACAGAAAAATAGATGTGACCTTCCAAACTTAACCTGAATGCATATCTAGCTGCCTTCTGTCTCCTTAGGCAGTGATGGTTCAAAAAAAAAAAA